CATCCATTTGATGCTTTAATTAGAGGAGATCATGTTACTACTAATGAAGTATTAAAACCAGGATTGTATGGAGTTATCTATTTTATTGTTTTCATTTTCATGTTATTATTTATCTCTAAAAAGTACAGCATTTGTGTTAAGAATATTTCATGAAATGGATATTTTTTATACATAATTTATTACTTTTATACTTTTCTATTTTGTAAAATTTATTTAAAATTATTTGTATATATATTTTTTATACTATACATATTCTCTGCATTCCTAGGGCCTGGGGTCCTTAAATATGGAGTTACAGTCCTAAATAAACAACTTATTTTAATTTGAAAAATATGGTTAGTATGATTAATTTAGTCTGATTTGATTTAAAGTTTAAAAAATGTTTAAATGTAGCAACAAATATTATGCAAATGTCTTTAACTGCCACTTTTACATTAAAGAACTAAAAAAAATAGTATTTGAGTTGCTTTTTATTTTAAAAATATAATATTCAGGGCAGCCATTTTTTCCAGTAAATAATGGCCTCAAAAATGAAAAATATATGGCCGTGAATATAGTAGGTCATGTTCATTTTTCTAAAAGTAAAAAAGTATTAGCTTATCTTATTTGGACAAGCAAAACTGCAGTAAGTATAAATTAAATTTTATAAGATATTGAACAAAACTTCAAGATAATGAAAAAAGCAACATCACACATAATATATTGTATAGAATAATATATTGGATAGAATAATATATTGGATGGCTGGATATATAACTAACAGCAATTCAGACTTTTGTGATTTCATTACTTGAACCATTTGTTATACAAAACAATGTATTTAACAAAAGAAGAGAATCAAGGATCTTTTAGGTATCATTTTGTTGATTTGTTTTAACTGTTATATTATAAAAAGAATATATATTCTTTTTACTATGTACTATATAGTAAAGATTTTTCTCATGTCACTTGTTAAATCAATATAAACATGGCTTGCAACTACATTTTTTTCACTTAATTTTTTACTATAAAACTTAATTTCAAATGAGATATTTTCTGTTAGAAAAGATGTGTTTTTAAGTGGCAACTGTTCATCATTGTTGGTCATTGTGAATAACAATTAGATTCATATATTGTGAGTTTTAAGGTGATGGCAGGTTTGAAATTTTTTGTGTTTTTTATAAAGGTTGTCACTGTCTTAGCTGTATGGCAATTTAAATCATAGTTGCATATAAGATAATATGAGCAAAGAGCAGCAATCTAACAAAATGTGAGTCATTTAACTTTTTCAGTGTAGTAACAACAAATGAAAATGAATTTTTTTTTTTAACTAAAAATTTCAAAAAATAAGAAAGAACATATTTTACTCATGACAAAGTCTGCATTGTTTTTTTATAACAAAATAAATTCTTTAAATTTTGAATAAGAACTCTAAACTGTAATCTAATTTTAAAAAAATGAAACTGAAGATATATATATATATAATTGGTACCTTTATTTTTCCTTCTGGAGAAACACATGAAGCTTCCAATAAGTTTTTAGTTAACAAACCTACCATTTCTTCTAAGGAAATTTGCTCTAAGTGATGAATAACAGCAAGTGATCTAAGTAATGAATAACAGAAAATTTTTGTTTATAGACATTAAAATCTAAGCAATAATATATTTTTTAAATAAGAAAAGCAGAAAAAAAATTTTCATCCAATACGAATAATTTTATATTTATTCTACAAAATAGATTTAAAAGAACAGAGTAATAATAAATTAGTAGAAATCACATCAAAATTTTTCATTTTATACAGTGTTTCATCAATAAAGACTTAGCAGATAATATAGCAAGAGTATTAGTAGAAATCACATCAAAATTTTTCATTTTATACAGTGTTTCATCAATAAAGACTCAGCAGATAATATAGCAAGAGTATTAGTAGAAATCACATCAAAATTTTTCATTTTATACAGTGTTTCATCAATAAAGACTCGGATAATATAGCAAGAGTATTAGAAAAGATTCTAGATGAAAACAATTTAAAATTAATTAAAAAATCAACTGAATGAACTAGAGAAGAAAAAAACCGCTACCACACCTGCATCAATTTGGAGTAACTTTCCTAAACTCACATTATTGCTCAAATCACCCGAACAAATTGCTGTAGTTAAAGCAATAGCTGAAATTAACAACGATTTGTCAAAAAGAGAGAAAAGTATAATTATTTATGGCCTTGCAAATCAACTGACTCACTAGAATGTACCAATATTGATAAAAGCAGCACAACAAACTTGATTCAATAGGAAACACTGAAAGAATAAGAAGAGTAATTTAAAAGTTGAAATACAAACGAAGCAGAGAAAAATCCAACTCCCATTCTAATAATAACATAGATTGCTCTGATGCATTAAATTACAAAAGAAGACTAGGAAACAATGAAAACTATAGACATTAGCGCAGATTTATCTCCAAAGGAGCAAGAAAATAGGAAAAAACTTATTGCAGAGAGAAATGATAAAAACAATAAATTAAAAGAATCAAATGTAGAAAACAAATTTAAATTCATTTTAAAAGGTTGGCAAATTAATACCAACTAGTAATTCGAAAACATATATACATTTAAATTCGCCACCATTACACAGAACTTCATCAACTAAATCAACATATTGCTCAGCTTGAACTTTATTGAACTCTTATTAATACCAACGCAACATCCTTAAACAATAAAATGCAAGAGCTTCGAACAATTTCATCATAATTTTGACATTATTTTTATCACAGAAACGTGGTTTACAGACACATCCGTTCCTTATATTACCAACTATGAGTTATTTAGAAAAGGTCGTGGGGGTGGAGTAGCTATATTTGCTAATTCGAAATATACTAGTACTAAAACAAATAATAAGATACTAAATGATAAATGTGTCGAGCAACAGTGGTGCTGTTTATCAATTGGCAAAGAAAAACGGCTGCTTAGATGTATATACAGGCCAATAATTCTCGATGCACAGGACAACCTTAAAACTTATCTAATCACTATAAGAGACAAAAAAATTTATGAATCCTTCTATGAAGCTAACCACTACCTCTTGACTAGAAATTTTGATGGGGTAATGATTGCAAGAGATTTCAACTATGCTGACATCAAATGGGACATAGAATGTAACCCATTCAGTTCGAACAGTCTTGAAAGCGAATCAAATTTTATCAATACTGTTAATGATTGTCATTTTATTTAACACTTAAATTTCCAGACATGTTATAAAAACACCGAAGATCCGACTTCAATTGATCTAATATTTACTGAAATGCAAGAATGAATATCAGAGATATCTCCGGGACGAACGCTTGGCAACATTACACATGGACACTGTAGTATAATATGGGTATATAAGACTCAAAATAGTCAATCTTTTCATCGTTTCTCTAACCACCATCACAATTACGCTAAGGGTGATTACAAGGATCTAAGACTATATATAGATATCATAAATTGGTCTCAACTACTCGAACCTCGCGATTGTATTCAACTTTGTTATGAATCAATCTTATTAATATACGAAGAAGCATGTCAATTATATATTCCTATTAAAACACTAAAAAAGCAAAAAATAAAGAGGCCAAAGTGGTTTGATTCATATACAAAAAAACTGGTTCAGGACAAACATCGTGCATGATACAAATTTCGAATAGAATCTAACATGTGAAACACAACAATAAACAGCGTAATTGAAAAAAAAAAAAAAGAATATCAAAAAATATACAAAAGATTATCTCCCTATATAAAGATATGTTACACAAATTTGCTGTCATGATTTTTTTAGTACAGCTTTACATAACAAACATCCAGTCAGTTAGCGTCTTATTTATCTACATGTATCACATGAATACATTATCCATAAAGTTGAATTGTACGGTTTTAATAATAAATTTGGAGCATGGATGAAATCCATGAAAATCTAAAGTAACAGACAACGAATTGTTCTTAGTGAAAACCTGTCTGACTAGAGTTCAATCAGTAACGGCGTAATACAAGGACTATGAATATTATTATTCATTTATGAATATTATGAATAAAAGCGGTCCACTACTTGGACCGCTTTTATTCATAATATTCATGACCTTCCTTGTCAACTTTTTCACGTAATAAAAATATACGCCGATGATTTAAAATTTGCTGAACTGGACGAAATTGAAATACTAAGAAACGAATTACGAAATGATATAGATAAAATAACTAAATGGTGTCAGGAATGGAAGATGAAACCTAATATAAGTAAATGTAAAATAATGCATTTTGGTAAATATAATCAAAAAAGAAATTATACTGTCTTTGACTTTGATCAAAAAATACGAATTTGAATGGAAGGCTCCAATTCAGAAAATAATCTGGGCATTATGACATCTATTGATGGAAAATACAGCCAACATATCAATTGCCAACAGAATGCTTGGTTTAATGAAACACACATTCAACACAACCTCAATTGCTGAAATATCATATAAAGCCTTTGTTTACCTGCTTCTTGAATATGCAGCACCAATCTGAGAAAATAATCAAAGAAATATGATATAGCAGCTCTTGAAAAAGTTCAAAGAAGAACAACTCAAACAAGAAGTCTCTCACATCTAAGTTATGAATCACAAATAAAAAGGTTTAATATTACAACGCTAGAAACTCGAAGGTTATGAGGAGATTTAACAATCTGCATGAAGTAATAAACAAATAGGACATGATTTTAGGTATGGATTTAATAAAGACCTGTGATAGGCAAAAAATGGAAAATTGAAGTTCTGAAGCACTGGAAAATTGAAGTTCTGTAAATCTTTGATTACGTTGTCATCGACACTTCGTGTTGCTACAATTGAAATTGGAACAAACAAAGCTTATTTTGATGGCAAAAAATGGATTGTAAGTTGGTAGTGGTATTGTAAGTCAGTATAACGTGTCTGACCAACATTGTGAGGCGTTCAACAACGATGTAAATCGATGGATCAAAGAAGACATATTTATCAAATATGACGATGAAATTATGGAAAAGCTAAAAGTGTGCTACCACTGATGTGCGTCATTCAAGATAATAAAAAGTTATTGCTTAACACGTATGTAAAAGCCTCTACAAGAAATGCAGATGTCATCTACGATGCAATAAGGCATTGGAGACTCTTGAGTAAAAATAGCAATGACTCTGTTGTGGATCTAAAACGAGCATACATGTGCATTTTCATGTATGCAAATTCATGTACATAAAAGACATAGGCCCTACCAAACTGTCACTTACAAAAATCAGCGATATGCGCTTACAGGTTTGGGCTTCGGTTTGAATTTAGCACCAGTGATGATAAGATCAATACTGTGATATGTTCTCCAACAAAATTCTTCCCTTGCAAAATCAATAAGAGGATACTTGATGACACCCTAGCAATCAAAGAAAATTGAAGAATGTTGATGGCACATATGAAGAAATGGGGTCTTCATGCAAAAACGCAAGTAATCACTTTGTTGTACCAAAGTTACAAAGTGGCAGCGGCAGTGTTGGTATTTGGAGCTGTTTTAACTTTAATAGAGTAGGAGTGTGTAACATTTGTACAATCAACCAACATACATATATAGAGACACTAGAGAACTGAATTGTTCCATCAGTGAACATGCCGATTGATCGAAACGAATGGTTGTAATTTCAACAAGATTTGGCGCATGCCCACACAGCTCGAACTTTATAAGCATGGATGAAAGAAAATTAAGTAGATTTAATGTCCTGGCCAGCTCGATCACCAGATTTGAATCCATTGGATTCTATTTTGGGCTTGAATGGACAAAGAATTAGTCAAGGTGCAAATATGACCCATAAATAGCCTAAAGCAAGAATTGATATCATTTGGAGAAGTGTTCCAAACGAAATATGCAACAAACTTGTAAAGTCGATGCAAAAAAACTGTGCTGGTTGCAAAAAAGCTCGTGGGGGATATTTTAGATACTAGCTTAGATGTTATTTTTGTTGCTTTAATTTTATATATATTGCAGTTTTTTATTGATATTTTTTGTTATTATGTTTGATAACGTTTTTATATACAATTTTATGTTTTTGTATGCCACCCAATATGCAAGATTTGTTTAAAAATGATTTTTCTCGCAAATAAAATTAAATTTGTTCAATATCTTTGTTAGTTCTTATTTTATGATAGTTTAAATAAGTACTTCAAGCAACAAAATTTTACTGCGCCTATTTTTTTTAAAAGCACTGTATATGCCTAAAGGCCGTTTTCTACAAGACGAAATATTCGCGCGAAGCAAATTTTTTTGCAATAACGAAACGCTGTTTTGATTTCCACTTACTTTCTTTCGCGCTACTTTTTTTTCGTTGTAAACAACAAAAATGGCAGCAATAAGTTTACGCTGTATGTTTAACTAAAAGCAGTTATTACTTTTTTAGCATACTTTCTACTTTGAAGAATGTGAAAATTTCTCTGATATGAACATTTCGATTAAAAAACAGCAGGTTTAACTCTATGTAGAATTTTTCACAAAAAGGTTTATCTTCGTGTGGCCACTTGAAGATAAACATTCTTATGAAGTGTAACTTTTGTAATTGACAGTGTGAAAATTTATATTTGTAAATTCTCGATTTAGTTTTATATATAAATCTGGTCATTTTTTTATGTAATTCTTGCCCCTTGTTTGATGAATTTACTCATGCTTGCCAATTTTCAGAGTAAGTTCATATAAAATTAATAAGAACGCCAGGTTAAGAATTTTGTTTTTTGTTAAGGCCGTTTTCCACAAGACGAAACATTCGCGCGAATTTTTTTGCTATGACGAAACGCTGTTTTGATTTCCACTTACTTTCCTTCGTGCTACTTTTTTTTTCGTTGTCAACAATAAAAATGACAGCAATAAGTTTACGGTGTATGTTTAACTAAAGGCAGTTATTTCTTTTTTTAGCATACTTTCTACTTTGAAGAATGTGAAAATTTCTTTCCGTGCATTAATAATAACATTTCTGTCTTTATATGTAAGATGTGATATCATTTTGTAATATAATCATTTAATATAAGGTTTTTTTTACAAGAAAGTATAAGAAAATAAATGCTAAACTCAGATATGATCATTTCTATTAAAAACTGTTACTGCAAAAACGAACAGCAAATTTAACTCTATGTAGGGTTTTACACAAAAAGTTTTATCTTCGTGTGGCCACTTGAAGATAAACGCTCTTATAAAGTGTAACTTTCGTAATTGACAGAAAATGTATATTTGTAAACTCGGTTTCGTTTTATATATAAGTCTTGTCATTTTTTTAATATAAGTCTTGCTCCTTGTTTGATGAATTTACTCATGCTTGCCAATTTTCAGAGTAAGTTCATATAAAATTAATAATAACGCTAGGTTAAGAATTTTGTTTTTTGTTACTTAAAAACAAGATGGTTTCACTTTTTTTTACTGTTGACATTACGTGATATAATATTCAAAACTTGATTGGTTTTCGCATATGGCGATTCGCAAAAAGTCGACTTTTTTTTTCGCTGCAGCGAAACGCTGTAGCAAAAAAAAAAATCTAAAAATATTTAATCTGCGCATGCTTATCGACGAAAAAATTCGCTTCGCGCGAATATTTCGTCTTGTGGAAAACGGCCTTTACTTTAAAAACAACATGTTTTCGCTTTTTTGATGTTGACATAATAATTCGTCTTGTGGAAAACGACCTTAATGGTTGGTACAAAAATCTTATAAAGAACATGATTTTGAGCTTAATGGTAATTCTTTGTCTATTTAAATAGCTTTATAGTCATTCTAATAATAATGATATGCTATGATATTACTGTTATAAATATATGTTAACTTTGTATGTGTTTTGAAACACAAAATTCCAAAATAGTTACAGTTGATTTTCCAAAACTGTTACAGTTTGATTTTGTGTTTTCAAAATTTAAAATAAAGTTTTTCTTCATCTTTATAAGCTTCTTGGTTTTTTATACTTTTTTCAATTTTAAATTTAAAGTATTTATTATTACTTTTAAAACATTTGTCTATTTAATATTACCTAATATTTAAAAAAAATTTAATTTATCCATTTAAAAAGTTAGTAACATAAATTTAAATATAATGCTATTCCAATAATCCTTTAATATTTATGATAAATTGATTTGTGTTAACATTTTTAATTTTTAATCTAGTACCACAAAACACGCTTTGCTCTCGGCAGTGCTCTTTGTGTTTCACCAGAATGGATTCATGGAGATTTCTGAGAATGCTTTAATTTTTCTAATTTTTGTTGTGGCGTCTATTACTCAAGTTTTATTATTTTTAACAAAAATTAGCGATCCATATCTTAAACTTGAAGAACTTTTCTGCTCTGTACTTTTATCTGGGCCAAATGAGGTTCACGAAGTCAAGAAGAAAAAAGATTAACTTTGAAAAATAAACTTTTTTTGGATATATTTTATATAAATATATGTAACTTGGATTTTTTTTTTAATTATTTATATTTGTTACTATTTTAGTGTATAACAAAGACGCATTTACAAATATATGTACTCCGAGTCTGTTAGTTTCTCTAAATTATCAGAAGACTATACTATATTATAAATTAATATAATTATTATTATCGGTATAATAAGACTTAAGTAAGTTTTCTGTGTGTACTATTATATATCGTCGGGGATAGTGCAAATCCGCGTAACTAGCATTGGATAATACCGCGTATCTGACAAATACAGCCAGTTTGAGATTTCGTACGCAATGCACGCAGGATTCTAATTGGCAGCCGCCAATATTGAGGTTACTTTCATTTAACCTATAAAATGCAGGTTATTGAATAACAATAATACTGTGTATCTGGGGCCGGTAAATGTCGGTACCGCGTATGTGGTCGGTTATCATCTGGAGAGTATCGTCGCAGTCGAAAAGTAACGTGGTTATGCAAAATAACAATAGTGCAAGTTGTTGCCATCTTGGATGGGGGGAAACAAATGATTATTTGAGTTAATAAAGCATCAGAATTCGTACGAAAAAATGATTTAAAGAGTTTAAAAAAAGAAATGTCAGTTTATGAATACTTTGAAAAATTAGATTTTAACACCACCGAAAGGTATATAAATAAACTTGCAATCCTTGGAATCAACCGATGTCTATACAAGTTCCTTGCAAATACTTGGAAATATAATCAAACTAAATGGCCATGAGTTCATTACCATTATGTTTATAATTGTTTAATAAAAAGTCCTAGAATATTTTCTCTTGAGGCTATAAATAATAATGAAGCATTAGATGCTTATAAATATTTTGTCTTTGGCTAAATGCAGGAAGTTTTTCACACGACATTAAGCTCTGGTTTTGTTGTTTTGAAAATACAAGTTGTCTGACTTGTGTGTTTAAAACAACAAAACCATCTTAGTCACCAGAGTTGACTCAAAACAACAAAACTATCTTACAAAACATCATATATATATAATATATAACATTATTTATATTTACACGTGTATATATATATATATATATATATATATATATATCAAAAATTACCTAAAGGCACAACAACTCTTTTGCATTTTAAAGACTTTTATGTTTATGTCATTTTTTGCGTTTTAGAACGAAAGTTTATTTTCCCCCAACTAAAATGGTAGCTGTTTGCTGCAAAGATTATGACGTATTTCCGTCTGCGAGAACCTGTAACGTTGTTAATTTGAGATGTTGAGTTCAGTTTATAATTGAAAATAAGAAACACCACTTCAGGTAAGTTTTGGTTTTATTATCTATATAAAAATGTAATTAAGAAAAATAATTTTTTTTTTTGTTCTTTAATTATTTTTTTAAAACTCGTTTTACAAAAAAAAATTAGTGTCTTTAAAAAAAAGTTTCCTCATTACGTTTAATCGTTTTTTAAAAAAAACTATAATGCGCAATCATGTTTTTATAAAGAGAAAAGTGTTTGTTTACATTTTTTTTGTCGATTAATACTACTTTTTTTATTTATTTTTCCTATCTATATAATTGCAGGACTATACTTTTTGTATAGGATTAGTTTTCCTACTTCTAAATTGAATACGATGGGAGTCTACTAGTTTTGTTAATATTGGCATTTTAAATAATTTTAAATAAAATTGGCATTTTTAAATTTACAGTTTAAATTACACCTTACGTCATTAGTAATGACTGAATATTATAAGGTGAACATTTTGTATGTTACCCGGTGGGAAATGAGCTAGCGACTAGCTAGCTTTATTGCAATTTTTTTTTTCTAAGATTTTTTTTTTTTCCAAAGCTACGATATGTAGCTAGCGACACATTGCTACAAAATTGCAATCTTTAAAGTTCAATAATTGAACTTTAAAGATTGCGATTTTTTTTTCCTAATATCTTTAACATCTTTAAAAATTTGATTTTTAGTGTTGAAGCTATTATAATTATGAGTATAATAATTATCCTTATAATTATAATAGCTTCAACACTAAAAATCAAATTTTTAAAGATGTTAAAGATATTAGGAAAAAAAAATCGCAATCTTTAAAGTTCAATTATTGAACTTTAAAGATTGCGATTTTGTAGCAATGTGTCGCTAGCTACATATCGTAGCTTTGTAGCTAGCTACAAAATATCTGCAGATCTATAGCTGGTCGATAGCTACATATCAAAATTTTTCAGACAACAATTTTATTACGATATGACGCTAGCTACAATAGCCAGTGAGTCTTTATTTTATTAAGCTAGCTGTCCTCATAGCCAAATCGCTGTCTTTATCTTTACAAATATCGCTTATTCTAGCTTTTTTTAAGTTAGCTTTTCGCTAACTTAAAAAAAGCTAGCGATCCTCGTGGCCAAATCGCTGTCTTTATCGTTACGATTATAGCTAGCTATTCGCTAGCCGATTTCCCACCGGGTAGCCAGATATATTTATATTTCTTAGTTTAAAATATCACCAAATATATTTATATTTCTTAGTTTAAAATATCACCAAAATCTATTAATCATTATGAATATTTGTTCTATTTTTATAAATGTAAAGCAGGGTCGACGATAAATGGCATCTATACTGGTGTCATTGCATACGCAGATGATGTAATTTTGCTAAGTCCAACAATCTCTGGTCTGCAAGAACTGATTGACAAAATTTCAAACATATGGAATATTAAACTTTATCAAGCTAAACACTGAGAAAACGGAATTTCTGATCTCTGGTAAAAGTTCAATTTCCAACAACATTATTCAAATTAACGGAACTAATATACATCTCCAAAATATATTAAAACATCTGGGTTTCCAATGGGATAACGATACCAACAAAAACAAAATTGCAACACTTCAAAAAACTAATCTAAATGAATGTATAACGCAGTTTCAATCGGTTGCAATAGCTCTAATTGACAGTGGAATTCGTTTTTGTCAGCCGTCAACAATAGTCCATTTATACAATACCTTGACAGTGCCAAAGCTTATATATGGCCTTGAGCTATGCAACTATGACTTTTTTTAAGAAACATAGACGCTGTTGGAAGAGCAGTTTTAAAATCATTTTTTTGTATTTCAAAGTATAGCAAAAATTACCTACATTCTTTTTTTAAAATAGAAGATATTTCAACTACTCATCTTCGAAATAAAGTAAACCTATTAATTAGGCTAATAAAAAATAAAACTTGCTATTCGCTGATAATTAGTCAATTACTGGCAACACAAAATAAAAAATCATTTATAAACGAAGTGATTGCTCTATGTAAAACTCGTGGCTTGAACATCTTTCAATGCATGATAGAAGGTAAAAAAAATTAAATTCACACTACCTCAAGAAGAACTACAAGCTGATACTATATCAATATTAAAAGAAGCGTTCCAATTATGGAACTTAAAAGAACAACAAGAAAAATTTAAAACAATGATAGAGGAGAATATTTCTAAAATAGATCTAACCGTCTACCGTCTAATCGGTCTAGTTATTGGCATTAAAGACAAATATTTGGAGAGCCGAGAATTTAATTTGTAACTGTTTTAATATAAATTAATTTACCTGTAATTTTATTACTGGGTGTTTAATAGAAAATAATAATGTAATAATAATATAGCTAATGCATTTAGATTTTTTTAGATTATTAAAGATTAAAATGGTAAATAACAGCAGACTCTTGAAATTTGGAAACTGAAGTAGCAGTTGAATCTAGAGAAAGGAAACAAAAAGCAAAACAAATGTCTTCGAAAAGATTAAGGAATAAGAATTTGAGAATGCTAGATCATGAATACACAGGTTTTAAAAAACTGGTGAGGAAAATTTAAACATGACGCTGTAAAACCTGCGCGAAAACTTGGAGAGGCTTGTAAGTCAAACAGATGCTCAAAAAGTAATATAATTAACAGTTTACAGAATGTGTAAGATCAGATATTTTTAAAAATTTTGGGAGATGAGCTGGATAGCCAAGAAAATCTTTGTTTCATCTTTAGTTGATAAAAAATTGACTAAAAGAAAAACTACTGAAAGAGCTAATGCAAGATGAAGTATTACAAAAGTCTATCATTTAAAATTAAATTAGAGGATGTTTAAAGACGTTTTTTGGAACGTTAGGTATTAAAGAATGGACAGTTAGGCACTGGCTAAGAGAAAAATAGGTATCTACGTTAAAAATACATAAAAAATGGACAGAGAGAGGCTTCTAGAAAACTATTTAAAGATGTTTTGAAAGATAAAAACATAGCTTTGTTTCAACTAAAAAAAGATGTATGCAATCTATGTTGTTCATATAAAACAGGAAATATCACAGAGCAAGAGTATCAACAACATGTATCTTGGAAAGATTTAGACAGGAAAAACCTTTAGACAAAATAGCTGCAAAAAATGGAACAATTCACGTTATCACTGTTGATTTACAAGCAGTGAAATTATGTCCAGTTAAAAAGTGTTATACCCAAGGATTGCCATGAATTTTATGACAACTTACCTTACAAAAATGATTATTTTTCTTTTATTCTGTTAAACTATAAACGGTGACAAATGTTATTTTTTAAGTAGTTGAAATAGTTCTTATACTTTTTGATGTTTTTTGTAATTTTAATGTTAATGAGTAACATTTTTCTTAATTTATAATTATAAAGATTTATCTATAAAGTCATAAAGATATATTTTTGTTAGATAGCTGAAGAAGTTCTTTTATTGTTATGAGTTAATTTTGTGATATTATTCCTAAAACTTGCTCTATTATTTCTAATAAGGTAATTAAAAAGCTGTACAGGCTGAGTGAAACGTAAGATTAAAGCAAACTGCTTTTATAATATTGTTATACTATCAATGTTTATATTTTGAACAGATTTCAGAATATATATTTTTTTCTTTTTCAATTAAGCTTGAAAGATATAAGGCTTTAAACAGATATTATAATTCATGTTATCATTTTATTATTATATATTTATTATTTCGTAGTAATATTACTTGTTTGATTTCAATACCGCATAACTAATCTGGTTCTTGGAAAAAATCCCCGAGAAAAAATCCCCCCGTAAAAAATCCCCCGAGACAAAATCCCCCGGAAAAATATCCCCCTAAAAAAAAAAAAATTTTTTTTACCTAAATATTATCAATATGTAGTTATGTTTTGTTTCTTTATTTATTTTAAATATTTATATAAAATACTTCATTTTTTTATCAAAATGTCAAGTTATGCGCTATTCCTCGAAGGTAGCGAATGTGAAACCCTAACCCTGACGAACTGCGAACTGGTAAAATGTGAACTTTTTTGCGAACCATCGTAGTAAATTTAGTAGTATATTTTAACGACTTTTAAGCGAAAAAATTATTTTAAAAAAGAATTAATGGAAATTAAGTGAAACTAGACGAATACAATATGAAAATATATAAATACAAACTTTAAAAAAGTTCCGGTAAATTATACGAACTTTCAGACCTGAATCTGAACTATTTGCTTAAAATATTTCTAACCTAAACCTGAACTATTTGCTTAAAAAACCTGAACAACCGCGATAGGTAACCTGAACTATAGTTCAGGAAAAGTTCCGGTAAATTATACGAACTTCAAGCGTTTTGCCTGAACTAGTTTGCTTCAAAAAGTTCCAGACGAACATTCCGGTATTCACCTGAACCTGAACTGTTTGTAAAAAAAGCCTGAACATCCGCGATAGGTAACCTGAAATAGTTTTGTACAAAAACCTGAACTGGCTACTACAAAATATGATAGTTTAAAAAAAAATTTAGAAATTAAAATGTTTTAAGATAATCAAAATATGTTTTTTTTTCCCAAAAGTTAAGTAACAAAAGTATCAATTTTAAAAAAATGGTCAAGTTTATTCAAATAAACATTTTTGTAATAATTTCAATATAATTACAAATATTATTACAATTAGAACTTACATGTCAGATATATTTACGGAAAGAAATGAAAAGTTAAGCTATTAAAACTTTTATAAGAACTCCATTTTTTTAAGCTAAGTTTTGATTATTAAACATAATGATTAAATCACGACATAAAACATAAGCTGTAAATAAGTGTTAGTTTAAATGAAAATACTTCCAGTCTACAAGTAAATATTTTGAGTAAAATAAAATAAACATTTCCAAACAATTATAAGTAACTGTTATACTAGGTAACTGTTATTTTATTGTTTATACCAATATGGCTAACTAGCCGTATTGGTGCACTTAGCCACATATATGTACACATCACAAATTCAATATAAATTACAAAATAAAAAATATAGTGATATCCATTAAAATAAAAACATTTAAAAGTTTATCCACTTCTTAATTTTTCATTAACAAACAATGACAGATCACTGCCACATCTTGACAACGGCAAATCGTTATTAATACCCATAACTTCACGTTGTAAAAAATGTAAAACATGTCTGCATTCTGGCGCATATTGAATATCGATAACGAAGTATAGTTTCAGTAAACGGTCTACTGCACTTAACATGCCATTTCTAATTGGAATAACATTGTCTTCTATAAAAATAAATGACTGAATCAAGTTGCCTCGAGCCCCTAGTGTAATAACAAATGGATGCATGAAAGAAGTGTGTCTTGCATCAATTATAGTCTCCATAGGTGTAGTGTCCTTTGTAAAAATAAAAATAATTAAGATACAATATAGAAGCGAAATTAATATTCACCTAGGTTATAGTACATACTGTTAGAAATATTAAACTTAAAAAAAAGATCTTACAGGAAAGATTTGAATAAAGTGAGGTGCAACTTCAGCTGCTGACGGTCGATCCTTATTTCTAGGAGGCACTTGAAGAATGTACAGAAGCAAGTGAAATGCAAATTCCATATTTCGATCTTTGATTTTCAAAAATATTTAAAATTTAAAAAGTACATATTTTAGAATAAAGAAAATAGTTTTAGTTTGTGAAAGCTATAAAATATAAAAACAGTAATGAAAAGAAGACGATGTGACATTCCATTTGAAGATATTAGCTGGTTGTCAAAGTTCTAAAAGTAGTTGCTTTGCCATTGGATTCGCCTTTCTACGAGCCCAAGTAATAACATGAGGAGCCATATCCTCCCATTACATAAGCAAATCTTGAGCATTTTCAAATGTTGCTGTAAACTCTCTCTGAAACTAATATAATAATTAAGAGTCATTAAATGTTTCTCAAACAAAAAATCAATTTTACTCTAGTAATACTCCAAAAGCAGTAATCCAAGACATTAGGAAAAACACTACAAAAGTAAAAAACAGTGCTGCTTACATCAAATCCTAAATCTTTAAATGAGGGAAATTTCAGAATAAACTCATGAAAAGGTGGTTTTGATGACTTAATCCAGTTTCTTCGTGGTACAGTAGTTTTTTCAAGAATATATTGTTTTCGATCATACTGAATGTCGTCAAATGACAACTCACTTATAATGTTTCGTTCTTTATTTGAAAAAGGAACTGAAAAAAATAGTTAAGCATCATTTGTTGTATATATAAGCACGACTTACAGTTTTATTAGGCTTACCTGCAACATCAAAAGTTGTTGGGGAAATGGATTTTCGTTTACGAGTAGCTTGAGCATGGACACCGTCAAACTTCCTTATTGTTTTCAGCCGCTCCTCAATATGTCCATGAGGTGTTATTTTCTTTATTTTGCCATTTACTTCAACTTCCTTATATGCCGCTCCTCAATATGTCCATGAGGTGTTATTTTCTTTTTTTTGCCATTTACTTCAATTTCCTTATAAGCGCAATAGTAATTTTCCTAAATATCTAAGTTTGGATAATGTAGTTTAAACAGCAAAAAAAACTTATTACATTTAGATAACAAAGTTAAGCAACATACATATCCTAGAGGTCCACCAGAGTGCAGTTTAAGAAAAGCGTTAATGATTGACATTGCAAGATTTGTTTCTGTTACTCTTGATGGATACCTAAAGTAGATACCTAATAAATTAATAACCACAATATTTAAAAAATGTTACAGATTCGAAGTACTGGACACGGAGTATGAAAAACATTGCTATCACATGAATATTTTGAATCTGAAAAGGGATTGGAATTTGATACTGATACAGAGCTAGAATTTGATACTGATACAAAGCTAGTCTGATAAAGTGAAACATGATTATTTGCAATTATGAAATCAGTTTGTGAACAATCTTTCTGCACATAGTCTGTGGATTGTTCTTAAAACATAACAAATAATTCAATTTACTTAAACTTACAAACTGCTATACTTTCAAAATTACTAAAAAATAGCTCTCTCTTACTCTTACCGACATGCCTACCTAACTCCTGAACTTCAAGGTTCGCAGTTCATTATTTGTTGACTTATTTCCTATCTTTTATGGTAAAACCTTTGTAAAAATATGTTTTTGCCTATCTAAAGCAGTTTAAGGTCTGCATTTTATTGCCGACTAATATTATTTTTCTAATTCTGAGGGTTGTATATATATGTACGTATGTAACTATATTTATAATAAACAGATTGTTTTTACCATAGAAGTTATTAGAAAATATAAAACTATATATAATAAATATTTACAATATCACCAGATATTTCATGGGATAGGTATAGAAAGTTATCTTGACACAATTGATGATTCAAAATAATGTGCATAAATTCGCAATTTATTTTCAAACAATGCACTGCATTAAGAGGTTTGTAATCTATTATGTCACATATTCTTATACATAGTTTTTGGCTATCTAGTGAACAACAGTAAGATAAAGATAGATTGCAGTATTTGTGGACAACCCACTTTGTTGTGAAAAAATACACAACTTCACTATGAACAAAAATCTGGTCAATGTGAACAAAACTTGGTTCACCATCACTATTAAAACCATAAAGAATTGTTTCACATAATCTGTATTTCTGACCCAATATGGTAACACAATCAACAGCTAAAACTTCACTTTCTTCACCAATAAAAGGAATAATAAGATTTTTGCCCTCTAATTCTGAAACTAAAAATACATTTTTTACATCAGCAATGGTTTTTAAGGGACCATGAGTCATCCAAGCTAAGGCATGAGCAATTTGATGTCTCTTTGCAATTGAAAAAGAAATGTTCTGAAAATTGCAAACAATATGAGCTAATCTTTTAGAAAAATTATGCTTAGCTTCATACCTTATAACAATCATATGAAGAAGAGGTCCACTTCGTTGTTTAATAGTTCTATAATGAATCATTCTATGATGCTTATAAAGAAGTTTTTTCTCAGGATAACATTCTTTCATCAATGAATGATGTTCCATTACTAGTTCCTCAATATATGTGATTTGTAAAGAATTTAAATTAGGAGATAAAATTACTTCACACAAATGTTTTAAGATTTGGTAAAGTTTCCACTTTTGTGTATCAACTTTATCAATAACATCAGACAAAATAAGTGGCAAATACATAAACAGTGTAAGCATCTGAGCAGAGTGTTGACCTAGTAAAGAGTCAGTACTTTTCATATGTGACTCATTAATAGTACTAGGTTTTGAGCTGCAAACAATACCTTAATCCATAAACTTGATGCGCCTATTCAGTTTTGTAATGGACATACATTTGACGTCATATAACACATGATAAAGAAACAATTTAACTTCACACGGAATAACTCCTTCAAAAATATCATGCATTATGTCTGCAGAATCATTTGAAGCAGGATGATAATAAGGCAATTCAGTTAAACAACTTAACCGTTTAATTCCACAATTCTTATTAGAAATTTCCCCTCGTTGCATCTGCTGAACTTGAGAGTTGTATAAAACATCTGTTCTTAGAGCTTGTTTGTCTTCTTTAAAAACATGCTGGATGTCAACTTTTGATATCATACACATGTCACATGGAAATGAAACAGTACTGATATTTTCCATATATCCTAGTATAGAGCGCAGACCTAAATTATCTCCAACAACTTGGATTATAAAATATTTAAAGTTAGTTTTTTTGCCTTCAATAAAAATATCAAATCGTTTGTCATGAAGTTTTTGCAATTCATTTAAAATCACTTTTATCACTGGCTCTGCTGAATATTTCTTTATGTCTATTGCGTGAGTTAATGCTAACATATGAATGTTGTTCAAGGATGAGTTTGCTGCATGAGGAAAGTTCTTTATCACAAAATAAAAGGCATCAAGTTTATGAATGCCTGTTTTTGATCCAAGAGGATTTGCGGTCTCTACTTCATCGAAGTATATTTGAATAAACAAAGGGAAACTTTTAGGAAATTTAAATTTGGCATATGCCATTAAGTTTTTACCTTTTCCACCACAAAACCAATCTTCGACAAATTCAAAATTAGATATTTGCTCCACTTTTTACATATTCATGGTGTCAGGGTGTAACAACACAAGCTTTATTGTGCTTTCAATAGGTATGTAATAAAACAAATCTTTTACTTTGACTTGTATTTGCTTTTTAGTCTTTCTATCACGTTTTGTATTCCATCGTTCACCCATTGAATGTGGTGCTGGTTCAATGTACAGGCCTTTATTTTTCAAATATGATAATATTCGATGTTGTGAGTCAATCCCACTAAAAGGTGTTTTCCGTCTGTTAAACTCTTCTTTTAAGTTGTCTATTAAATGCTTCTCACACCTACATGTTTCCAATACTGAAACTGTTTTACCTAGTAAATAACTAATATGTCTTCAATAAGGTTTTGTGAACAGTTCTTAACAAACTCTGAAGTACATTAAAGCCATAATAAATTTTAATGCTGCTTGTGATATGCCATATTCATCAACAATAGGTGAGGCAACATCTTCAATTTTTTTTTCACATCCTTTGGTTAATTTAATATTACTTTTAGCTTCAGAATTAGGTGTTACTGGAATTTCACAACTTATGTTAAATGTTCGATCAATATTAACTACAAAACCGGTATGATCTTTATTTATATGTTTTCTTAGCATATTATATGTAGTAAACAATCGTATACAACCACCGACATTACATCGAAGTTGACAAGGCTTAAATAAAAGATGAACATTCCTCAAGTGATTAATGTAAAAAGAAACAGTTGAAAAATCTTCGGGGCAAAGGTAACAACACATTGACATTCTTAAAAAAAAGTACATAATAATATTAGTTCACCTTTTCTGCTGCAATGACAGACTGAAGCTTTATAGCTTGACCCATTTTTATTCCAATACAATGAAACAAAACAGAGTTCATTTGCACAAATGCATCTCCGTCAATATCTTCACCTTTAAAAAGTAAGTTTACGAAAGATAACATTTTCAAAGTTATTTCAACTAGTTAAATTTGTTTTATGCATTAATGTTTAAAACTAATTTTATATGTAGTAAATACTTACTCGACAATTTAGCAGTTGCTTCCATAGAAATTCCATTTTCATAGAAAAGGTATCATAGGAACGCAACGATCGAACTTTCAGTTGTTAAAAAATAAAGTTTCAGGCGTTAAAAATAGCCTGAACAGTTCAAGCAAATTTTACCGGAACTTTTTTAAGAGTGTATATTAATTATTTGATAGACTGCCTGCCCAAACCAAACCCTCAGTCGATGTAGCACCACTCCGTTGGGAGTCAGGCTATTTGTTAGTCGATGTAGCAGCACCCCGTTGCGAGTCAGGCCATAAGATAGTCGATTTAGCAACACTCTGCGCAAGTTTTACAGTTAAAATATAAAAATTTTATTTAAATAAAGCTTTAAAATAAAAAATTAAGATTTGGAGAGTTTTTTTTATTATTATTATTTTTATCATAAAAATAATGGTCTTTAAAATATTTTTTGTTTCGCAAAAAAGTTCGCATTTTACCGGTTCGCAGCTCGCGGTGCGCAATTTGCGCGTGCGCAATTTTATCGACAAACGAGGAATAGCGCAATTTTATCGACAAATAGCGCAAATTTATCGACAAACGAGGAATAGCTTAACTTGAAAAATGAAGTATTTTATAAAACTATTTAATATAAATTAATACAACTATTTTATTGATAATTTTTAATCAAAAAAAAAAAAAATTTATTAAAAATTATCAATAAAATAGTTATGGAGGGACATTTTCCGGGGGAATTCCTGCTGTTGGTAGCAGGAAAAAATCTAAAATTTTTTTTAAAGGAACTGCTATTATTGACATTACAAAGAACATTAATAAAACTTTCTATGCCAAAATGAGCCCAAAATCTGTTTAAATAAAAAATATATACAGTTTTAATCTTCTCCTGTAAAACTGCGTATCTCCAATGCAGATACGCGCTTCCTACCTGTAGTAGATCCGCGGTTTGCACTATCCCCGACGATATGGAACTTTATATATGGAATAAGGTTTAATCAAAAAGACTTCTTGTTATTTTTTTTTAACGAAGGAGTTTTGATATGTTTTAAATGAATATAAAAAATTTGGTTTCTCAAAAAAAGTTTTTACTTGCTTTTTTGTTTTTTTTTTTCTTACACATTAACGTAAATAAAATTTTTTTTTTATTATTATATGAGTTTCAATAGCGTTTCAATGGCGGAACTACCATACCGCAAAAGCCCGCAATGCAGTGGGTGAGAGGTTGAGAAGCAACTGTAAGGTTCCTAAAATTTTTAAAGGAACTGCAGTTTTTAAAAATTATTGTCTATTTTAAAAAATTTAGTCCTTTATAAAAAGTCCGACCAAAAATAAAAGGAAATAAAATATAAAACAACAACAAACTGATAAAAAACAGCGATTATAAAAAAATATATAGAAAAAAACGGGGTAGGATGGCGAACTTTTTGAAAGCCCACATAATTATTCATTGTCTGCATGAATTTTCTGTTTGCATGAAGAAAAAAATTGAAACAAAAATTTTAAAATTTTTTTATCAACTCACGTGCCCGGAGAAGATAAGTTATGCGATTTCTGCTCCAATTAAAAAAAAAAAATCAAAATTGCCAACTACTCTGACTATTGTAACACAAAATAAACACGTGTCGCAAAAAAATTTTCCTAAAAATGTTACACCCGAAGAACACCATTTATTATGAATAACCGAAACCGAGGAATTTTTTTTATAAATATAAAAGCGTATAAACTGGTGTTAATAATATTTTTAAAAGAAAGAATCGGCGTTTTAAAATACAAGATGTCAATACAGTTTCGTTTTCATCCATTTATAAGTTTTTTTGTTGAGTTGCCATAATGAAAAGCTATCTTGTCCCATTCTTTATCTTGTCTCGCTTTCCCAATTAATGCAACTAAACCAAACAAATATATATGCTAAAATTGATGAATACATAACTAAAAACACAACACTTTTAAAATATATATATATATTAAAAAAAAATTTCATGAGATTTTAATTCGAATTGATTTGATTCAATAAAACTGCTTGTTTTTTCTTCATTTACGTCCTTTCTTAGATTTTTTTTTTGTTGTTTATTTTTTCTTTTAATATATTTTCAATTCTTTTTAATTTTTTCTTATTGATTTTCTTTTTCTATGTTTTTTTCCTTAAAAATTGAAGATAATAGAAATTATTTAAGCAATTCTTCTGGCAAAGAACGCATAGAACTTCTGGCAAGGAACGTATCTTTCTATATTAGGAATCAAAGTAAAAACAGTCAAAACTATGGAAATCAAACACGTGATTACAGATTTGGCCAATTAAAAATGGCAGAATTTATCAAATCTGTAATCACGTGCGATTACAGATTTGATAAATGGAGGTAAAATTTACAATTTTCAATATACTGTAATTTATTTATTTGATTTCAATTGTGCAACGTTTTTTTAATAAATATATTTAGGTTTTTGTGTGTGTGTGGTGGGAGCCACAGAAATGATATTTTGCGGAGGAGGAAGGCCAAAATTTGAAGTTCCACAACTGATTTGTTTATTCACAAATCAAAGTTTAAAACAACAAGCAAACAAGCAGCCTAAATAAAGTTTAAAAAAACCTGTTTTTTCTAAATTTGTTAAAGTGACCAGGCACCATATGATGATATAATTTCAGACACATTGTGTCCTCTACTTACTTGTACACGCAACCCTACGGGCATTTGTTTTTAAAAGTTACGTTCTAAATGTCTTTTAAATGTCTTTTAAACGTCTTTTAAACGTTCTTACGTAAAGAACGTTTAAAAGACGTTTAAAAAACGTTTAAAAGACATTTAGAACGTAACTTTTAAAAACAAATGCCCGTAGGGAATGTATTCTAGTTTGCGTTTTAGTGCCCCCCGCCCAAGCGTGAGGGCACTAATGTAGTAAAAGTTCAACTTTACCATCTAAAACTAAATTTAAATTTATCGACAGATTTAAAATTTAGTAGAAAAATATTGTAAATAACATAAGTTATGACCATACAAAATTTACACCCCTTCTCTTTTTTTTTAGAAGGCGTTTCAGGGCTTTTATGCTCCCAGCCCTCCGCCTTCTTAAATTTTTTGCAAGGCCTCCTTGTTTAGCATAGGTATAAACATACTTGGAGTTTGCACAATGTGTGAAAGTGGAAATCTGGAACATCAAAAAATCCTGCTGGCCCTCTTGCATATGTGTGAATTGAGGGAAACTATACACTCTACTCCCTATACCAAACATCTTTTATGTTGGCAAACTAGGATCTTTAGTCAGAATTTTAACTTTTCTATTTATTAGATGGTTAATTGTGATAAATTGAACCTTCCCCCCCCCCCCCCATACGCTTTCGTACGCTTTTTGAAGACCTCCAACCTATGACCCGTACGTACTTTATGGACGACCCCTAATTACATCAGTAATGAAGATAGCTACACTGCCACCTCGACGTCCGTCTTAGCAATCTTTTTTTTCAAGTGAGTCATTTTTTAATACAATAGCTTTACTATAATACTTTGCTTTAAAACCTAACAACTTCATACTTTCCACTTTTTAAATTTTATGTTGATGAGTTAATACAGTTTGTTTTAATTTTTAGATATAAATAAATAAAAAGCGCTATTATCACTATTTGAAGTTTTAGTTGAGATATTAAAGCTAAAAAATTGTCTGAAAAAGATTTTGTAGTTCTTAACAATATAATAGAAGCAAAAATTTTTAATGTTACTATGTTTATATACATGCATATTATTTTTAAGAATGACAATTTTTTTTAAAAAAATATATTTTTATAATAACCTTTAGTAAAAATTAAGAACTAAGATCCTAATTTTGATGATGTTTTCAAAAAACTAACATGTTTTTCAGAAAACAAATTAGATGATATTTTAAGAGGTTTTTATCTTTTGTTTGAAATATTTCATTTTAAATATTTTATTCTAAATTTAAACTTATATGTATAGGATTTATGTATGTAGAGGAGTATACTCAACATTGAGAGCAACTTTGTAATTAGTTTTAATGGAAGAAGAAACTAATTAAGTATTAGTTTTTACACATCGCTCTAGCGCAAAAAGAAGAATTATTCGCTATTCATTAGATTATGCGCCATAAATAAATTAATATTGTTTTTTTTATTTTTATTTAAATATTTTTGTTGCTTTAAATTTTATTTAAATTATTTGAAATTTATTTAAATTTTTTTATTTAAATTAAATGTTTTTCTGTAAAATCTAAAATCTAAAATGCTTAAATGGGCTTGGGCCCCTCAATTTTACTCATTACCCCATTTGTGATTTTTTTTTTTTGACTTTATAAACTATTGTAAATTTATGCTCACAATTTCAGTTAGCAAGAGCTAATCTTTTTTAATCCAATTGTTTACACTCTCTACTATGCTAGTAATAAATAAAACATCTATATTTTGTCAAGTCACGTTTTTGTCTCTAAAATATGTTTTTTTTTTAAAAAAGAAAGCATACAGCCTAGATGCATGATATTTACATAATCTTATTTAAAATTATGTTTATTTACCTATTCCTATCAAATTTATATCAAGAAATTTTTAATCAAAACTTGATTTCGGCTCTTACAAAATGTACGTTTCTGGTTTTTATATGCAACAATTCCCGTATTTTATATGTAACAACTGCAACTTTTTAAAAAATTATATACAAAATTTTACCCTTTGTATTTCTCACAGTGAGGATCACTGTGAGAATTAAAGAAACCAGATACTTATAGTTTTGATGGTTTATTAGATATAACAAAAGAGGACTTTGGTTGCATTCTAAAGACTTTTAAAGAAATCTTAAACATCGAGCTCCACCACTTTCAATTTTGAATGAATTCGGAGAGGAACATGATAGTAGTAATAAGTCATTAGGTGACAGCGTTAGTGGTTATGGTGGAACATCAAGTAGTTGTGATATGGTGGAACATCAAGTAGTTGTGATATGGAACGGTTAAAAAGAGGTTAGGTTAAAGGCAATCGTATTTAAAAATGGAGAGTCAGAGATAATTTTTAAAGGACTTCGATAAGCATGAAAATGGTTTATGCGGATCTATATCAATCATTGTGACAAATTCTACAAATGTTAACATTAGGAAACAAGTGAAATAATGATAAACTGATAAACAATACGTGTTAAAAGATCATACGTGCCAAAAGATAATCATACATTTAAAAAATTAAATTTTTTTAAAATTTCTTTTTGAAACTGTGTTTAATTTCAATAGTCGAATTTTGACAATAGTGGTATACGATTGAAGAAAAATTAACTAAAATGGAGAGAAATCTGAGGAAACTTTGTATTTGAAATATTTTTTAACA